ATGTTCAGGAACCAGCAAAACTCGGAGCCCATCCAGCAGCTGACGGAGCAGGTTGATGAGGTGCCCAGTGTGTGGGGCAGGGGAGGGAGGACCTATCCAGGCAGGGGTCCCAGGGGGGTAGGGGTAGAGTTTCCAGTAGGGTGACCAGATGTCCCGATTTTATAGGGACAGTCCCGATATTTGGGGCTTTTTCTTATATAGGCTCCTATCCCCCCCGACCCCCTGTCCCGATTTTTCACACTTGCTGTCTGGTCACCCAGTTTCTTCTTCAAGTGATTGCTCCTGTGTATTCCACAGTAGGTGTGCGTGCTCGCCACGTGCACCAGTGCTGGAAGATTTTCCCTTAGCAGCATCCGTAGTGGGGGAGCACCGCTGCGACCCCTGGAGTGGCGACGACATATCGCGCCATAAAGGGGGCTGCGTGCCCCCCCATCCTCAGTTCCTTCTTGCTGCCAGTGAAGGTAGTCGGAACTTTGTGCTCCAGCCTTGGCTGCAGCGTTTATAGCCTTAGTAGTGTCCAGTCTCACTGAACCTTTTTTGCTAAACTTCTTTCGTTGGTTCCTGGCTCGGGGCATGCCCCGTGGCCCAGGCTTCAAGTCGTGCGACTCTTGTCGCAACTCTATGCTCAGAAGTGATCCACACAATCAGTGTCTTTGCTGTCTGGGCGAGGCTCACATTAGTGAGAAGTGTAAAATTTGCTGCTCCTTCAAGCCGCGAACAAAGAAGGAGCGTGAGATCTGACTCCGAGCCCTCCTAATGGAGTCGGCATTAGCCCCGGCACCGGCGTGTCGAGTCGACCCCGCGCCGGGCACCACGTAGCAAAGCGCCTCTGGTGCGCCGTCCTGATTCCGCGCCCGGTACCGCGTCGTTGGTGCGCAGCGAGGCCCCCGTCAACGACCCGGCACCGCTCCCCTTCTAAGAAGCAAGGGAAGACTCAGCGGTGCCGGGAGAAAGATTGGGGTGAGGCCAGACCCGCATTGGGCAGCCCACGATCCCCATTGGGACCGAGACCTCTGACTCGGGTGGAGCGGAGTAGTCCGGTGCTGTCCACGCGCGCCTCGCCAGAGGTGAGAATGCCTTCGACGCTGGAGGCAGCTCAGGCCGCGTGCAACATCATGACGCTTCCGATGCCGGGAGCGCCGCTTCAGTCGGGCCCCCGATCCCATGGGAAGCCACCGCTGAGTGCCCATCAACCTTCTCCGGACATCTCCGAGGTCGAGGCTCCATCCCGAGTCGAAGGGCCGAGCCACGGACCAAGGTGCGCCTCCACCCTGCGAGCAGGGTCATCTGTGAGCGAGCTTACCTCCTCCTCTCTGGGAGACCGTAGGGTGGTACTAAAAGGCGCCGCCGCTCCTCTTCGAGCCTTACCTGCAGGGACAGGTCTCGGCGGCGGCGGCACCGATGTTCATACTCTGGCACCCGCCGTGGAAGGCGCCATGCTCAGAGTTTGTCACGGGAGTCCCAGGCACCGAGGCGTCGTAGTCTTGGCCGCCGGAGGGAATACAGAGACAGTACTCACGACTCCTACCTGTCCTCCTCCAGGGGCCGGAGACGTCATGTTCGGGACTGCTCCAGCCGTTCATACGGCACCATGCGTTCGTCCTGGACCTCTGCCTCGGCACCCAGCCGCCCCTCCTCGAGCCGCTCGGTTCCGCAGGACCAGCCAGCCCTTCCGGGCCCCCTCGCGTCCCAGGACCTTGCCGTTCCCTGGCAGGGACAGTGGTGCCTGTGGGCACCGTGGCCCCAGGCACTGGCACCGCCGGGACCCCGCTCCGTGGGGAGAGCGTCCCAAGCCCAGCCGATGTCACCGCCTCGGCACCGTGATGAGGCAGTGGGCACTGACCCTCCGGCACTGACTCGGGCCCAGGGTCAGGACATCGAGCTACCAGTACCGCCGGGTGCTGACGACACCGTGGCACCAACCTCCTCAGCACCGGATGACTCTGTGGCTGTCCTTCCTCCGGTCTCTCAGGAGGATTTCAAGGCCCACCAGCAGCTTCTCAGGAGGGTAGCATCAAACCTCCAGCTCCAGGCTGAGGAGATGGAGGAACCATCGGACACGTTGTTCAATGTCCTTACCTCCTCGACGCCGGGGCGCATGGCCCTCCCGCTCCATCAGGGGGTTGGCCAATATTACTACTGGCCTCTGGCAGACCCCGGCATCCCTGGGTCCTATTTCCAAAAAGGCCGAGCGGAAGTACTTTGTGTCCACAAAGCGGCACAAGTATCTCTAATCTCACCCAGCTCCGAACTCTCTAGTGGTGGAGTCAGTGAACCACCGAGAGAGACATGGCCAACCTGCTCCCACCCCTAAGGACAAAGATGCTTGCAGGCTGGATTCCTTTGGGAGAAAGGTTTATTCGTCTGCGAGTTTTCAGCTCAGAGTAGCCAACCACCAGGCACTCTTGAGCAGATATGATTTAACCTTTGGGGATTCCTTCCCAAGTTCGAGCCCTCCCTCCACGAGAAGGACAGGAAGGAGTTCCGGCTCTGGTTGATGAAGGTACGGCAGCAGCTAAAGCAGCGTCCAGGCGGCCTCCGATGCGGCGGACACGGCCGCTCATTCAGTGGCTGCGGCGGTCTTTATGAGAAGGGCGTCCTGGCTTTTGCTCTCTGGACTATCGGCTGAGTCCCAGTCGATCATACAGGACCTTCCATTCAACGGTCGGGCCCTGTTTGCTGATCAAACAGACACCTGTCTGCACGGGATGAAAGACTCCCGTACCACCCTGCACATGCTGGGCCTGTACGTCCCGCTGGGCCTGTACCTCCCTGCTGGCCAAGGACAAGCCCAGGCCTCACACCTCCACTTCACAGGCTCAGGGCAGATATGAGCCCCGCCCTATGAAGCAGCGGGAACAGAGGTGCCGGTCACAACACCAATCCCGTTCGGCCCCTTGTCTTGGGCCCTCTAAGTCCAGGAGGCCGGGGAAGCGGCGTTTTTGACTGCTTGTGGGGGGTCGCCGGGTCGGTTGCCAGGTTAACCTCCCCCCCAGTTAATAAAGTTCAGGTTTGCCAATCATTTGCCTGCCTTCAGTCTGCAATGGTTCCGTATTACTACGGACCGCTGGGTCCGCAACACTATATCCCTGGGGTACAGGTTGCAGTTTGTGTTGCCCCCTCCCAGTTGCCCTCCGGCCAGGGAGTCGGCGGAGGACCCGGAACATGCGCTCCTTCTGGATCAGGAGGTACAGCGCCTCCTCTCCCTGGGAGCCATGGAGAGGGTACCTTGGGAATTCCGGGGCAAGGGATTCTATTCCAGGTATTTTCTCATCCCGAAGGCGACGGGTGGGCTTCGGCCCATCCTAGATCTGCGGAAGCTCAATCAGTTCTTGGTTCTCTGCAAATTCCGCATGGTGTCCCTGGCCTCTATTATTCCCTCCCTAGACCCGGGGGATTGGTTTGCAGCACTGGACCTCCAGGATGCCTACTTCTACATCCACATTTTCGAGGGTCACAGGCGCTTCCTCCGTTTCCTGGTGGGTCAGGACCACTACCAGTTTACGGTCCTTCCCTTTGGCCTCTCGACGGCCCCCAGGGTCTTCACAAAGTGTATAGCGGTGGTAGCGGCCCACCTCAGGAGGAGAGGGCTGCAGATCTTTCCCTACCTGGACGACTGGCTGCTTAAGGGCAAGTCCCGGTCCCAGGTGCAGCAGCAGATAACCTTCCTGCTAC